ACTGCATTAAATAATTAAAGTAAGGGGTATAAATAAACAGTGACCGGTGAGTTGACCCCTGCCTGTAACGGCCTGACAGAGTGGAGAAGTTGTGGTGGCAGATTTAAACTAAGTTGAGAACGTTGGAAGCAAAAGGTAGGCCGAAATAAATCGGTGTGAAGTAAGGGCGTTATTTTGAACACGAAAGTGCTTACTAGTAAAAAGTTTTTAAACCCTCTATGTCAGTAACAAGCATTCGGCGGAAGTTGCAGTTGACAGTGCTGTTCTTCAAAACTCCATTGTCGGCCCTACGTCAATGATTCTGTCAGCAAACTGGATTGCGCTATCACCATGTTTGCCGATTATATCCAACTCTGGAGCGTCATTCGAACTGCAGCAGGCTCTTGCCATTCAATGAGAGCAAGTGCAGTATTATACGAGTCGGCAAAAAATCAGCTCTTTCAACCTCACGGTTGACCGTTTAAAAATCACAGCTCTGCAAGAAGTGGACGCTCAGAAGGGTTTGGAAACGTGGATCATGCCCTCGCTCAAACCCTTGCTGCACTGCTCAACGATAGCCAATTTTGCGATGTCAGATCTGTACTTCGTCAAACGGACTTCCTCTGCGTTTGACGACTGAACCTTCGTGCCACCGCAACCGGAGTCGGCTATCCAAGCTTTTAGACCTCAAATTTATCGAAAACGTCCAAAGGCGCGCAACCGAAGATGTCGTTGGACAAGGCCTACTACGCATAAAACATTCTTGTCTAGTCTGAATCTCTTTCCTATGAGCTACAGACAGCTCTGATAAGACCTGATACTAACGTTCCGCATCAGAAGTGTTCAGAACTGCTGCCTTATATCAGGATATTTCTGTGAGTTAGCAACAACAACGAAATTGAAGGGTCACCCTCCCAACTTACGTCTGACTGGGACCAGGCCAGACACTCAAACGTTATTTTTTTCTCCAAAAGAATGGCCGAAGCTTGTAGTGCTCTGCCTCTTAGAGGTTTTTAAACGGAAGCTGGGCCGATATAGTAGGATGCTTGACAATACCACCAGACCGATGTCACTATGACGCCCGTAAAAATATAATTAGTACACTATGTACTATATTCCAGTAGCATTTGTTTCTTGAATATGCCATTGAACACTATCTATCGCTCACGCAGTCTCACCAAAATACTCAGGCGGAGGTCTTTGTGGGCTTCAATCGTGTCAGCGATAGCATCTACCGCACCTTGCGACCATAGTCAACGCGGTACTTGTACTTGTACGTTCGTCCGTGAGTCGAAACGCAATGGAATGTCGACGATCATGACGGGTACTTCCATTTTTGCCACCTTTTTGGTGGACTCAGCAATCAGCCAGGGAGTATCTGAAAACATTTTCCGCACTTCGCCAGATGAAGGCGGGTTACCCGGGAATGGAGGGTTACCCGTTAGCCAAGCT